GGTGTGTGTGTGTGTGTGGGGGGCGGGGCCGGGGGGGAGACGGCATCCACAGGTCCCAGCCCATTGGAAACAGTCACTGGGAGGGAGGATTCTGCATGGAGAAGGGGCGGAGGCTGACTGGGGGCTTCTTTAGAGGCCAAGGAGGCAGGCTTTGCCGAGTAGGAGCACAGGCTTTTGGCACACCTTCACCTTGTACCCTGACACCTGGGGACACCCCTGCCAGGAGCAGAAAAACAGAGGAGGTCTGTTTCGTGACTCCATAGATCTGTGCCCAGAAAGCCTTGCCACTTTTACCACACTTATCAGGGATTCCTGGAAATCAGGACTTGGTTTTCATTCCTGGGCGGTTTCCAGTGACCGCTGTCTGTGAGACCTGTAAGGCCCGGTTGTATCAACTCACAGGGCGCAGTGTGGGAACCAGTCGCGCCAGCTCTGTCATCACCTTCCTCCTCCGAGCCCGCAACAGGATTCGACGCTGGACAGAGACTAGCCTTTCCCCATGGCCTCACAAGCCAGCAGATCTTTCATTCTCAGACTGGGGTTAGGAAAATAGAACCATGGCTGTCCTGACACAACTCCTGTGATTGGGATGCTCCAGAAAAGCAGTCAGCCCCAGCCACTGTGAAGGCACCATAGAGAGGGGTCACCATCACTCCCAGCTGAGTAGCCCAGGTGGCCCAACGCCAGGCAGCTCATACACTAGGACGTAGCTGCAAAACCCCAGGTCTCCTCACAGCCCTCACTTGACATGCACCTGTCTTTTATATGTGGTTTGTTCCTGAGTGCATGGTCTGTTTAGAAAGCAGAGCATAAATCTGCCACCCACCAGGCCAGACTGCATCAGTTGTGCTCTCTAGGCTGTCTGGAGGCTGGCAGCTCTGTGGTCTGTAGGCCTCTTTCACTCCTGCCATAGTTACTGGCTTCCTTCTGTCACAGTGCCCAGGATGTGGGTGGCCATGGGAGACCCAGGGTCTAGAAGCCTGTGCCAGGGAGGGCGCATTGGCTTTTATTTGCAGATATTTCATCAATGCAAGGCCGCGTTCCTCCCTCTATGGAGACCTTTTTACCAGGCAGTTCTGCCGGAAGACCACTTCTCTGCTCTTAGGGGAGTGTGCCCTTAAGGGTTTGGAGACAGCTGGAAAGCGCCTCTGTCCTGGGCCCCGGAATTGACTAAACCTCTTGTGAACCTGGGGTGCACCCATACCAACCCTGTTCTCTTTTTCTTTTGCCTGCACACTAACAACCGACTAACCTATTACCTCTCCAGCCACCTCTCGGTGGTTAGCAAGCCTGATCGCAGGGTTTGCTTTTCCTGCAGCTCTATTTACTCCCCACTTCTTCACCCCATGCTTTTGCCATCCTGGTTCAGGTCTTTACATCTCTTCCCTGGACTCTTTCAGGTGCTGTAGCTGATTTTGCTCATGTTCAGCTGAGAGCTTGACACTTTTTACATTAGGGAACTTCAGTGGGTCCCTTTTACCTATATCTAATTACCAGAATTTCTTAGTGGGACATTCAGGACCCTTCACACTTGAAAGGCCCTAACCTTCCCCTCCAGCCCTGAGATTTTTCATGGGCCCAGTGCTCCCTCGTGGGTCCCTCTCCAGTGCACTCAGGCCACAGGGTCCTCTGAGCACACCTGCATATCCGTGCCTGTGTGCCTGCCCTGGGCAACTGCTCCATCCTGCTCACAGCGATCTTCTCACTCCCGCCTTTCCTGCTTGGAAGACTGACTCATTTCTCACCCAGTTACAGCTCTGCTGCTGCCGTGAAGCTGTCCCTCTCCCATCCCCTGGAAGGAATTCATCGTTTCCTCTTAGGTTTCTCTCACAGCTCCGGGTTCGTACTTCCATCATGCCGCTTGTATTACACAACAGTTGGTGTGTTCTCTCACCCCTTCCACCTGTCTGTCCACATACTGGTTTTATGAATAAACACGTACTTAGTGATACTACTATGCGAGACATAATGCCGAACCAAATCAACCTGACCCGTGCCTTCCTGGAGCTTGCGATCTAGCCAGTATCTGTCTCCCCATTATATTGGGAGTTCCTTGCAAGTGAAGGTCCCCTGTACGGTTGATGCCTGTAGCACAACGGCAGCTTGCTCCACGCATCTTCACGAAGTGGGCAGAGATGGATACCGTAGTGGAGGATGGGGGGTAGAGGGGGAGTTTTCATGGGTACAAGATAAATGGAAGGCCAGGAAAAGTCACGCTCTGCCCCTGGTTTCTGAAGGACAGCCACATTGCATGTGATCAGTCTATATGTAGGGACCTATCATCTAGGGACCATGACGCAAGTTCTGAGACTTGATCTGGACCTTTTACTCTGATAGACTGGAGAAGTTTGTTCCCTTTGAAGTGCGTGCAGAAAGCTCCTGCAGCCCTGTGGTCACATGGCGATCTGGTTGCCCATCCCAGGAGCTGGTTCTCTCCCAGGTGGGCTGTTGGGCCAGCTGCCCTAGAACATGCTGCTCTTTGTTTCTTTCAGAGATCTGAAACTGGACAATGTACTCTTGGATCACGAGGGCCACTGCAAACTGGCAGACTTCGGAATGTGCAAGGAGGGGATTTGCAATGGAGTCACCACGGCCACATTCTGTGGCACGCCCGACTATATTGCTCCAGAGGTGAGTGCAGCTGCTGGGTGCGGCTTTGGAAATCTGAGCTCCACTGAAATCCTGACCAGAAATGCCACTGGCTGCTTTTGTGAGCTGCAGCTTTGTGGGCAGCACTGAAAGCTGACACCTCCAGACTCATTTATGCTCACTGGGTGAATGAGGACTGGAAAATGTCCTGGGTTCCTCTGAATAAGAATTTGAGTTGAAAAGTTTTTTTCATAAATTTTGCAGCTGCTTAAAGACTTTACCCTAAATTATGACAAAGTGTGATCCACTCCTCACTATTCAGTTTATTTTCTCCTTTGTCTGTACTTGGCGATTTAATCACAGTCTCATTAGGGAGGACTAAGAAAAGCTTTTGAATCTTTCCCACACGAGTGAGTGAACCCAGTCTGTTCTTTTTTCTGCATGGATCTGTTTTCAGAGCCCTTTTCTGTTTGGGATCTGCATGTGCCATCACCTTGGCTAAATAGGCCTTTAATGTTTGATCCCTTTGATGAGACGGTGCCTCTGAGTTGACCACAGGAGAAACAGACCACTCTGTAGAGATGGAATGAAACCTGCCTGCCAGCAGAGAAGACTTTTTTTTTTTTTTTTTGTCATTTTGTTGTTTTCTATCCACCCTTTTCCCTTGTCATGAACAATATGTTTGTTAATCAGGTGCACAGTGCACTTCTTACCCCCTCCTTTGCACAGATCCTGCAGGAAATGCTGTACGGGCCTGCAGTGGATTGGTGGGCCATGGGCGTGTTGCTCTACGAGATGCTCTGTGGACATGCGCCCTTTGAGGCGGAGAATGAAGACGACCTCTTTGAGGCCATACTGAATGATGAAGTGGTCTACCCTACCTGGCTCCATGAAGATGCCACAGGGATCCTAAAATCTGTAAGTTTGACTCATCTAGGCAGCTTCCCACCTTCTGCAAACCAGCTTGCTGTACATGCTTCTTGTACCTTTTTTTAATACCTCCCACCAGTAAGCCACCAGCTCGAACTAAAATTTGTGTTCTGATCTGAAGAATCAAAGAATCAGAGTTCTCACAAGCTGTTTCTGTCTCTTATGCAACAGTTATTTCTGGGCCAACTCCAATAGCAGTTGGTAGCTTCGTTTGTCAAATCCCAAGTATTTCTAGTACTTACAACTTAGGTGAAGTGATTCTTTCTTTTCTAATGAAGTCAGGCCTCACTATTGTGTTGAACCAGAGTCAAGGCCCTTTCTAGGAGGTTGTGATGTTCATTGAGTCGCTGTTGTCAGTATCTCAGGAGCAGGATGAAGGGGCCTTTCCGAGTGCTAGGGAAGGAGAAGGAATGCTTTCTAAACTTGTACAGATCTGCTTTGGCTCCATGTTATCCTTATGCAAGCCAGATGTCAAGCCCAGGACCCAGGCGCAATGTGGTAAGGTATAGAATTGAGAAAGTCTTTTTAAAATTATTATTCAGATTAATTTCACATTTTACAGAGAAGTCCCCACCATGATATATACAATATTTTTTTTTTCCAGCAGAGACCTTTACTTTTTTTTTTTTTTTTTTGGTCTGTTAAATGTTCCATTCCTTTGTAGCTCACATCCACCCTGTACCAATTACTCCCCTGCCTGATAGCCTCTGGTATCTACACATACCCTCTCGACTAACCTATCTTCAGATCTCTCAATTTCTGCCACAGAGTGCAGATACTTGGTACCCATTGAACGGGGTATATACAGTGTGTATCTTTCAAAGTCTGGCTCCCTTCACTCAACGTTAAGTCTCCTAGAATATGTTCATCCACTTTGAGTCAGATGATAGGGTCTCATTGTTTCTTAGAGTTGAGTACTATTCCATAGTATGTGTGTGCTGTTGTTTATCATCATTTTTTTGGACACGTAGATTGGTTCCATGTTTTAGCAATTGTAAATAGAGAAAGTCTTTTTAACTGTGTATTCAAGGCACAATACTGGATGCCTTGTTTTGAAGTGAGGAAGAAACATGGACGAAAAGCCTTTATCTTGAAAACAAGAAAGTATATGTCATTTGGGTCAGTTCTGTAACCACATTCGTTGGGTTCAAAAATCCATGATTTTTCCCCACTGTATGCAGGGGGGTATAAAGATGTATAAAAGAGCCATTCTGCAGGTAGGGAAAACCCAGAACAACCCCTAGTCTCTGTTGGATAGTGTATTTGGGGTAAGAATTATTTTCCTCAAGTTACATCCTTTTCGGTGATTTGAGACAAAAACCAAATTTGGGAAATATCTGTTATCTTGTTGAAAGACTTTGTGTTGTTTTAGAAATCTTCAGCATTATCATCAGTGCCATTTCGAGGACATTTTATATGTGGGTCACTGTGTACTGGGGCTAAAGGCATGGTCGTTCCTGAGAATTCTGTTATCACTTAAAGTAAGAAATAATCACAAAATCCTTCTCGGATAAATACTGCCAAAGTGAATCATAAGTCATAACTCAGTTCTCAAGGTCAGGTGCCAGTACTCTCCTGAAACTGAGAAAGCACTGCTCTCATGTAGAAATAAAAACAAAGTTTGTTTTTTTTTTCTATCCAAAAATGTATCATGACTTTCCTGACAACCCAGTACTTTGGGATTCTATCAAATATCTCCTTTCAGGCATGTTTCCATAGGAACAAGTCATTTGTATGTTTAGCAGAAATTTTAGGCCAAGAAAACCAAGAATGTGGCTTTTATAATTTTATGAAGAAAAAAATCATGGAGAAAGGCTTGTCTTTATGGATTTGTGCCAGGAAGTTTTCAACTTCCTGGAGGGAAGTGGACTCACCTGGACTGGCCACAACCAATTTTGATCATGTAAACTGTCATAACACAACTGCATTATGCTACAGAGTCGGGCTTCTCGTGTCGCTATACTTGCTCAGTTCCATGACTCCAAATCCAATAGTTCTTTGTGATTCCCAAGGCATGCCAGCCCCTGTGGCTTTAACAGTTGCTATCATAATATAGTCCCGCTGGCTCTTCATGGTGCTCCTATTCAGTTCAATTACTATAGCTGATTTTCCATTTTTAATATTGAAAAGTAGGACCCCAGAGTTTATCATTCAAATGAAAATGCTTGTTCAAGCCACAGAGAAATACACATCATTAGTCTTTGTGTAACTGTGCTTGATACCATGGAGGGCAGGACCAAAGTCAATCTGTGCCTCCTCAAGAAACTTTTAAGGAGCGGGAACCAGCAGTTAGCGTAATGGCTATGCCACTGGACTCCCACATAGTCAACCGCAGTTCACGTCCTGGACCCGGTGGCTTAAAACGCACGCCGGGTGCGTGTGCATGCATGCCCAAGATCCTGAGAGGAGAATGGAGGAGAAGGGATTGCGGCGTGACCATCCCCCCGGGGGGTGATTTCTCGCTTTCTGTCTCTCTGTCTCTCTCTGTCTGTCTGGTGAGCGCACGTGCCCTATAGTAACAACCTCTCCAAAAAAAAATAAGAAAAAAAAAAAAAGAAACTTTAAGGAGCTCAATCTAGGGATTACAATCCAGATCAGTGTTTCACTGAGAGGTATCTCGTACCTTTTGTGTCCAGGGCTAGTTGGAATATATATATATATTTAAGTTTTTGTTTTATTCATGATGGAGGATACACGCATGCCAAGAAAGAGGAAGAGAAGCACCCTCAACAGTGTCTGGTCACACAGCAGTCCTCTTCCCTCAGCCTTCTAGTCTTCAGCATCTTGGTTGTACATGTACATGCCCGGTATGTTTTCAGGCTGACATGGAGATCTGAACCCATAATGAGCCATGTGGCTTCCAGCACTGTAGCTGAGCATGCTGCTGACTGTGCCACAGAGGTGGAGGCATCTAGTAGAAGTGCTAAGAATCATCTCACCTTTGGGGTTGGACTTCCCTCACATCTGCTTCTCCTAACTTTTTTCTTCACTTTTAGAAGAAATTTTTAATCTCATACTAGTGTTTCCAAGTCCTCCTGAGAGAGTTCTTTCCAGCTATAATAACTCTAAAACCAGCTATCATGTCCTTAGCCATTCTTAATAAAACCTAGAACAGTTAGTAAACAAAGAAAAATTTCATATGGGATTAAGGCTTCTTTTAACTAGATGAACTTAATTACTTTAAGCTAGATCTATGATGTAAATAAGAATATTTGGAGTAATTAACATATGTGCTACCCAGTAGTGTCCTCCATGGTCTTTGTGCCATGAGAAAAACGGTTCTTGGTGCCTGGAGAGAATAGTATCATCAGTGAAGACTCAGTATTCCCTTCTCGCAGGTTCACCGTGGGAAGCTTCAAACCTCCTCCCCTTATCTCAGTTCTTTTCTAGTGCCAGCTACCCAGCTGGATAAAGAGAGCACTGAGGTGGTTACGTATCATTTGCCTAGCATTAATTTTCTTACATTGTCCTCAGTTTTCTCTGCAGTGTCTTCCCCATAGGAAAGAGCAAGGGTCTGGGCTCACAGGGCCAAGCCCACGCCCAGGGCTGCTGTCTTCTGACTGAGTGGTCTTGCTGAGCTCCTATGCACCTCTGAATCTCAGTATTTTTGCTTGTAAAAAGAAACAAAAAACAACCACTAGAAAAACATTTAAGACAGTGTTGTATATTTCTGCCTTCATCCTCCCAAATATGAAACTTAAATACTGTGAATGAGAACATTCAGCTAGGCTTTGTAGAAAGCTGAGGAATGTAAATGAGGGTTTGGTCAAGGAAAAGAGAGGGAAACAATTAGGAGCACTCAAGTAGAGAAACACTGAGTGGGGAAGGCTTCAGAGTTGGGGTGGCTAAAAACTTGCCCTGGGCTAGAAAAACATGCTGGGCACTGGGCACACGTGCATGTTTGCTCAAAATCCAGAGAGAATGAAAAAGGAATGTGGCATGGTCATTCCCCCGGGGGGGGGGGGGGGGGGGGGGATTTTTTCTTTTCCCTC